TGAGTTAGGGGAGTTACGTGATGAGGTCAATGCCTTGCGTGAGGAGGTCGGTACTTTACGCAAAGACGATGGTGCATGGCGTGTTGAGGTGTCTACATTACGCGGTGAGGTAGCCGCTCTACGTGAGATGGTAGCATCGTTTCAGAATGAGGTTCATACTCTACGCAACGAGGTAAGTTTAAGATTTTTCATACTCGTAATTCATTCGGTTGCTGCCAATACTGCTAAACTGTTTTTGTTAGTATTTGTTTTTGGTTTTGTTTTTGTCTTTTGGTTGAAGTAATGCAATCCATTCAAGTTTCAATTTGCAGAAGAAGAATAGTTTACTTTCGCAACACGAAAATGACTATCGCAACGCGGAAATGGCTATCGCAATGCGAAATGAAAATCGCAACGACAATTTCGCAACGCGAAATGAAATCGCAACGACAAAATCGCAACGCGAAATGAAAATCGCAATGCGATTTGTGTTTCGCGTTGCGATTTTGTCGTTGCGATTTCATTTCGCGTTGCGATTTTGTCGTTGCGATTTTCATTTCGCATTACGATAGCCATTTCCGTGTTGCGATAGTCATTTCGCGTTGCGATTTTAAGTTTCGTGTTGCGAAAGTAAACTATTCTTCTTCTGGAATGTTTATATATGTTGTCCTTTTAAATGTTTATATAAGTGCTTACTTCTGGAATGTTATCTGAGCATTTTGTGAACTATGATAGAATAATGATTTGGGTGAATACAATGCTAGTTTGAAACATATTTGTCTTTGTTTAATATCATGTCTGTTTATTTACTGATTTATGTATTAATTTTTTTTAGCGGCCCGATAAGGTGGATGCTTTACGTCGGGTTTTCCTTGCACGACGGAGTTCACGCATCAGACGGCGTGGACGTGCTATTACGTCTCCGTTCATCCCAATGGTGCGAAGACTCCGCAAGAAGAAGCCCGACTCACCGGTCATCCCTCAAGAGTCCCCTCCAATCGTTCAAGAGGCCCCTATTCTCCCTCAATATTCCCCCCCCCACCGTTCAAGAGGCCACTGTCATCGTTGAAGAGGTCCCTCTCACCATTCCAGAGCCCGATTCACATGGGGTAATATATCGAAGTATTGCGAAACCCCCACCGGTTCCGGACATGATGGATGAGAGTTGGCTCTAGTATGAGTTACCGGCTAGTACCCTTCCGGTATCTGAAGTGGAGAGGAGACAACTACCGGAAACAATTGTGGATAATACCCTTTGGGCTAAGACCACAGTTGATTTTTATCTACATGAGCGGAGCCAAGGGTGTTACACTGATATCAGCAAACTCAACGATGAAATGTTTTTGTTGCTTGATCGGTCTTGGTGGGGTGTTCTATTAGGGGTTGAAGACAGTGGCTATTTGGATGGGGAGGTAAGTCTTATATTTGTCTTATATATGATTTTGATTAATTTGTTTAAAAATTAATGTAATTCACTAATATATGTATTTTTTTGTAAAACAGCATATCGATGCGTGGGTGTCACGTCTACTAATAATAAGGAAGCTTAGGAAAAATAAAAAAAATTCGCTATATACAATAATGCTGACGGCTTTTCACGTAGTTCACTTGAAGAATCAACGAGATGAATCATTTTTGTTGGGCAATGGACAAGCTAAACTTTATCCTGTATGGTGGGAGGTCGATAAGGTTAGTGTTTATTTTTTAAATTTTTTAAAGGTGTTCATAAATAAGTGCGCAAATAAATGAATTATTACTTATGATCGCAGGTGTTTATCCCTATTTTGGAACGTCGTCACTGGCTTCTCGTCCAACTTCAGCTCCCATCCCTGAAGATAATAGTGTATGACAGCATGATCAATTACATATCACTGTCTGATTTGAGAGATATTTTCAAGGGATGGAGCTCTCATTTGGCTAAATTCTTGGATGGGATTAAGTATTGGAGTCATTCTGGACACAAGAAGCCAAAGAAGTTCAATGTCACAGTTGTTAGAGACGAGACCGCGCCACAGCAATCGCCGGGAGCCAGAGGGGATTGTGGTCCTCTCGTATGCCTTTGCTTGGCACGTTTGACGACGGGAAGCACAGAGTTTTTACCTCCCAACGATAGAGATAGAGCTACAGTAGGCTTGTGATTTCGGCATTATATGGCTAGAGCAATATATTCGAGACGCTGCCTACCTGCATCCACGTTATGAAAGTGTCCATTGTTAATTAGTAAGTCAAATGCAAGTTTTGTTAACATATATACTCCTTTTGGTTTGAAAATGTTTGGTTAAGTACCTAGAATTCAATAATTTGTTGTTTGTAGGTTTTAGATGTGTAGGAAGTCTTGTTTGAGCAAATATTTGGTTTCTGCAGGTTAATCCTTAAGTGAGCTGCGTGAAATGGATGTACGGGGTCACAAAGTTGTTGATTCATTGATTCAATAATTGATGAAGAAATAAGAATTATTATTATTTTTTGATTGTTTAATTGATTTGTAAAAGATGATTTGTAAATGTTGATTTGTTTAATTGATGTGTACATAATTTGTGTTGAAATGTAATAGTTGATTTGTTGATTTTCAATCTGCTTTATGTTGAAGGAAAAACAGACTATCGCAACGCGAAATGGCTATCGCAACGAGAAAATCGCAATGCGAAATGAAAATCGCAATGCGAAATGAAAATCGCAACGAGAAAATCGCAATGCGATTTTCATTTCGCATTGCGATTTTCTCGTTGCGATAGCCATTTTCGCGTTGCGATAGTCAAATGAATGTCTAATAAGTGATAACAACTGAACAGATCATAGCAATGTTCAAACTCAAGTTACTAATACATGCCTAACTGAAAATGTTAAAAGTGCACACATAAAATACACATAATGCAAGTTTTGTTAACATATACTCCTTTTGGTTTGAAAATGTTTGGTTAAGTACCTAGAATTCAATAATTGTTAAAAGTTTATGCATGTTAATCCTCGTTGCCTTTTTTCATTTCGCATTGTGATTCTATCGTTGCAATTTGCATTTCGCATTGCGATGGTCAAATGATTGCCTTTCGCAACGCGATTCTGACTTTCGCAACGAGATAATACAGAATCGCAATGCGAGTTTCAAAGTTCGCAACAGGTTTTAGTTTCACAAGCCAAATTTTTTGTGTATATATATACGCAGCAGCAACAACTCATAACCTAAATCCCTAAATCGCAACTCATTCCATCTCCATCTATCACTCTCTCCGGCGACATCCGTTCCTATATCCAACGACATCCTTCCCCATCCGGCAACAGGTCTTAGTTTCGCATCTCGTTTGTTTAGTTACAACCATGAAATCATCTAATGTTGATCATGTTTGGATAGATTTGTTTTTTTGGAGGGTCATGAGAGAATGTTCATGGTGTTTTACAATATATGCCTTTACCCATGAATCTTCAACTAAAACTGTCATTAAAGAAGTTAACTTATGAAACCCTAATGTTACGTGTTTCAAAGAAATTGAATTTAGAGCCCCTAAGTGGATTTAGGCTATCTTATCAGAGAAATGGTAAAGTTTATTTGTTAACCGACAATGAAGATGTTGAACGATTCATTGCTTACATTAATGTTTCAAGTGATGATGTTACATTGTATGTTGTTGAACCTAGAAGTAGTATTGTTGGGTCAGTAGCGGGTAGTAATCAACTAAGTGGGTCTCAAAACCCACAGCCTTTCTCTAATCCAAATCCAAATCAACTTTCAGCACCAAATTCCGGTTTTCGTATTGACCAATTAGACGATGATGAGCCAAGAGAAAAAATTGTGAGTACTAGTCAGTATTCGAAATTTGATCTTGGTCAATACCCGGACTTTGATATTGGTCAATACACGGATTTTGGTGATGTTTCAGAAGAAGAAACAGACTCTGCGTGTAATGATTTTGATATTGGTCAATACCCGAATTTTGATGATGAAACACCCGTTACCGAGGAAGATGTTGTTGATGATAATGAGGAGGAAGTTACGACTGTGAATGAACATGTTGAACATCCATTCTGTAATTCATATAATCCTGAAGAAGAAAAAGAAGAAGAAAAAGTCCTCGAAGAAAAGAAAATGCCACGGGAGTATAACTGGATTATGCCAGAATTACTTCAGTTACCGGAAGAAGAGTTGGCAAAGAAAGCAGTTGATTGTTACACAAAAGTTATTCGTATCAAGAAAGATGATTGTTTTGATACAAAGGAAGACTTGAAGATAGCTTTGTATACGAAATGTGTGGAAGATGGCTATCAACTAAAAGTTAACAAATCAAGCAAAGATCGTTTCGAAACAAGGTGTACGATTGACAAAAACTGTACGTGGCGTATGATTGCAAAGAGGATATACAATTAATCTCAAAACACAAATATTTACAAGAGAGAGAAAATAAAGATTGAAAAACTTTTCTTTTGTGTATGAATGCTTAGATAGGTGTTGGTAACCTTCTTCAAGTATCCTCAACTTGTTTTTATATGTTGGAATGAGTTTGTGGTTGTTTCTAGCTATTGGATATTAATTTTCTCCAAAATAAAACTACCCAAGATATGGAATATCGATACTCCTTTAATGAGTATCGGTACTACCTTTATAATTTTTAAATAAACTAGTCGTTAAAGACCGTTGGGCTTGAACAGTATCGATACTATGTTTCATGGTATCGATATCACTGTGTAAAATAGTATTGATACCCTTTTGAGTATCGATACCTATTTTGAATTCTGGAATTTGAGCAATTTGGAAAACAACTGGTAGTATTGATACTACCTAAAATGTATCGATACTTTTCTTACCTATGGTATCGGTACAACATGAATAGTATCGTATAGTGTCGATATTGTAAGAACAGTATTGGTACTACGTACCCAAAAAAACTGTTTTGTGTTCAAATTCTAGTTTAATGGACTTTGAATTATTTTTGAAAACTTTGAACAAATTCAATCAAGTCCAAAAATATTTTACCTTAATTTGTTATATCAAAACATTATAAAACATGTTGGAACAAAAACAAAAAAACTTATGGCCTTCCACCTCCTTGCTGTGAAAACATATTTGAGAAATTGAAACGCTTGGCGCAAGGAAAATCTAATAGAGCTCTCAACACCCCTGTACTCCGCTCGAAAAAAGATTAAGGGGATCAACACATCTTCTATCTTCATCGACTTGTGACTCCATACAAGTAGGAGCTTCCTCTACCTATAAATAATCTCTATCATTTGTACCCTGATCAGCTGCCAAACAGTGAGATGCTTTGTTTCCCTTTATAGGAACGAAACTAAAACAACATGCATGGAAGAATTTCGTTCGGTTTCGCACCTCCCAAGTTATCACGCTTACCTCGGATAAATCAGGGTCTTGTGAACGCATCTTTTCGATTATTGTTCTTGAGTCACCTTCCACCACCACTCTGCGATATCCCATCTCCACCGCGAACTGCATTGCATGAACGACTGCCACTGCGTCCGCCATGAAAACTGAGGTAATATGATCCACCCTCCTTTTACATGCTCCCAAAATAAGTCCTGTGTGTTCTCTAATAATAGCTTCTGACCATATTTTTTGTTGTGCATGTAAAAACCTGACATCAAAATTAATTTTTACCATGGAGGCTGGCGGGGGTTGCCATGTAGCTGCCGTTTGTGAAAGAGGCCCCTGGATACGAGTGTTTGCAGTTACAAAATCTGAATACTGAGATTTGACAAGTGTAATAATCTCCATATCCCTCATCTGCTTCCCATTATGATATGCTTTGTTTCGCGCTAACCACAATTCCCAGACTGTTATTATTTCTGCATGCTTAGATTTGGAATTATTATCAAGCGCCCAACCAAACCATTCAAACCAGTTTGTATCCGAAAAATGATTCGGCCATTGATAACCCAATCGTGACCACACCAAACCCGCCTGAGGACAGTCCTAAACAACGTGAACTCCGGTCTCCACAGAATGCACGCACTTCGAGCACATAGGATTATTGATAACACGTTTACTGTTAATTTCTTGAAAAACTTTTTCTATAATCATTACAGTCCTAAACATTATTTATTTCGCGAAAAACAAATTCTAGAAAATGAATTTTGAAAAATGAATTAAATTTTTTGAAAAACTTTTTTTATAAATCATTTTATGTTGTCTAAATGATGTTGTGTAATTCATTTTCCACATATTGGAAAAAATTTTAAAATTTATTTATTATGAACATCAAATACAATAAGTAATATTATTTATTAATAAAAATAATAATATTATTTTTAAAGTATTAAAATAACTTATTTAATATTATTTATGTCAATTTTTTATTAAAATATTATATTTACAATTTTATAAATAAAATATTAACATCAGTATATTTTATCAAAATAAAATTATTATAAATTATATTAATTATTTATTAAAATAAGAATAATATATTATTAATTATATTGATTACTTATTAAAATAATAATATTATTAAAATATAAAAATATAATATTAAAATAAAAATATTATATTATATTATATTATAAGAAGTATATTTTAAATATTCAGTAATTCAATAATATTATTTTTATAAAATTAATAAATAATATTAATTTTATTAATAATTTATTATATATTATTAAAATAAAATTATAATATTATATAATATGATAATATAATATAATATAATTATAGCAATACAAATATTATGTTATATTATTAAAACTATCATGAAATATCCTTCAAAAGAATTATCATGAAATATAATTTAATAATTAATTTTTTTATTAAAATAATAATATTAAAAATATATATTAATATTAAATATATAAAATAATAATATTTTGAGTGTTTATGCTTTGAAGTGAAAAGTTAGTAAAATGACTTACTGAAAATCAAACTGGAAAAACAAAAAAAATATTATATTATCTATATATATTTTTTTTCAACCAAATATTAAGAAAATAAGAAAAACATTTACCTAAAAACCAAAAAAAATTATTTATATTAGTTATATGTTTTCTTCAAGTAATTGGGTTGTAAAAAACCAAAAATTGAAGCAATTGGGTTGTAAAAAACCAAAAATTGAAGCAATTGGGTTGTTGACCCGGCAAGTGTGTATCCATATAACTTGGTTAGATCCAGTAAAAAACCTCAACTCACCATTAAAGAAACAAAAGTCCTCCAGTTATCAGCTTGCAGCATCTCTGCTAAACTTAATAGCAGATTTACCTTATTGAATCGCCATGGATTCTGCCACTAGAAGAAGAAGTCAAGGAGGCCTCTTCGAAGGCCTTTACAGAGTCATCATGCGTCGTAACTCTGTGTACGTCACCTTCGTCATCGCCGGCGCTTTCCTCGCAGAACGAGTAAATCTTCTCTCTTTCGCATTGAGTCTAGTTGATTTATACATTTGATCCCTTTTTCGTTTAATTTTTTTGTTGATTTCTAGGAAAATGGTTAGTGTTTGTTAATTTCTGATTGGGAATTTTTTCTTCTAGGATAATGATTGATACTGATTATTTGATTTTTTATTGTAAAGGATGAGCTTCTAAATAATATTTAAATGGTGATTATTTGGTTTTAATTGTTGTTAATGGGTTTTTTTCTAATGAAAAATGTCGTAAGGGCGACTTAAATAAAGTATGTTAGAGTTGTCATCGATCATTTCTAAAAAATTTAAGTTGATCGGACACCTTAATTTATCCTCTTACTTGATTTGCGTCTTATCAGAAATATGTTGGATTCGAGAGGCGGTTACAATCAATAAAAGATTAGCACCCTTGTACTGCCCAAAATCCGATCGGCCCAAGATGTTCCCTTTAATGCCCCGAAGTTGAACCCAAACCCCAATCACTCAAAATCGCCCCTAAACGGCATAGATCTAAGCCAAACAATTCGAGTTTCACCTTCCTTTTGACGTTTTCCTTTGGTTTTTCAACGTTATTTCTTCTCTGACGATGTTCCTTTCGCTTTCCTCAAAATGCTCCCGACGATCTTCGAGGGAAATATTTTTTTTTATGTGTATTTCTTTGCTTGCTTGGTTTTCTCTGTGTTTTTTGTGTGTTGATTTCTTGTTCTGCAGGTGCTTTTATAGCCGGTTTGAGGAAGCATTTTCCTCTTGTATCTTGGCGGTTTCATCCCCGATTTTGTTGGGATTTCCCCTGATTCTCTTGGCACGTTCGACTTGTTGGTTTTGTGACCGAAAATAGGGGAATATCTCCCCTTTTCGCTTCGGTTTTGTTTGATTTTTCTCACCTTCTTCGATTTTGTTCTGATTTTGCCTCGGGATGGGTTGTTGACTGAAATCTCATGATGGTTCAATCTCGAGTTGTTCGATTTACTCAGATTTGTGTATTGCTTTGTCTCGCCGGCCATTTCGCGTGCTCGACACTCGGCCTCCCCCGACTATCCGGGGCCCTTGACTTTGCGTGAAAACCCTAATTTGATTTAGACTTTGAACCGGGTCTGCTAGGTCAAGCTACCTGGTTAGACCCTGAACCTTTGGACCTTGAATTTAGACTTAAACAAACAAAAAATAATAATAAAATAAAACTATATAATACTATATTTTCAAAAATATGTTTTCAAAAATTATGTTATATGTTTTCCAAAATCGTATATATTATATGTTTTCAAAACCGTTTTTTAAAACTATATATTATACGTTTTCAAAACTGTTTTTTTCTTTTAAAAAAACTATATATTATACGTTTTCAAAATCGTTTTTTAAAAACTATATATTAAACGTTTTCAAAACTATTTTAAAAACTATATATTATATGTTTTCAAAACCGCTTTCAAAAACCATATATTATACGATTTAAAAGCTTATTTTTTAAAAACTATATTATATATATGTTTTAAAAAATATGTTTTCAAAAACTATATATTATATATTTTCGAAAACTATATTTAAAATTATTATATATATATGAAATAAGTATCTACAAAAAAGAAAGGAGATTTTTACTATAATTGATTCAACTTTTGCAGTCTGTAGATTATGGTGTCGTAGGCTCTGGGAATACAACAATGTAGGGGTAAATTTTCTTATCTTAGTTCAGTTTTCTTGTGAATTCTATGGCATAGTCAGCTTATCATGTTGGAATTTCATTTGAAAATTGTGTTGTGAATTCAACGTTACTTTGCACAATCACATCGGATGGACTTGTATTTGATTGCATTGATGAGAGGATACAATATAGTCGTAATATACTACCTTTTTTTATTGTTTTTAATGATCACAGAAGGCTTTATTTCATATTGATCCTCCTTGGTTGTGTTCCTAATTGTATTATTATTCGGTCTCGGTTGTGTGCATAGTTATGTAATATGTATTGCCACAAATGAGTTGTTTTAGCTTACTCTTTTCTGTTTTTCTAAACCATATGATGATACGATCTAGCCTTCTGTGAAGCTGTAATTTCTTATGTCAAGAATTTTGCTGTTTCGCAAACACTCTCTTAGCTTATCCATTTTGATGCATCATTATTTGCGTAGTTGCTTGACAACTGCTTGTTTGCTGATCTTTGTCTGCTATAATGAATTACCACCACAGTTTATGTGGTGCTACAGACACGATACGAGGACATTGTGGTGCTGGGACGGAGGCAATCAGAGGAATGAAATCAGGGATGTTTTGAATTCGTTATTGAGGTAGCTATGTTTCAATAAAAGGTTATTTGTTTTGGTCGACTTGATTCGTTTCTTAACCGTGAGTTGGTTGAACCATCATTGCGAATTTTCGATTGTTGATGGCAGCATCGAAATGACCGAACCCACTTTGTAGTCATAGTTGCATTTGGGTCAGCACGGAACGAAACCCTGGTCTAACCCACGCCTTAGCTATGGCCCACCACTAACAATACCTTTTCCAACACGGTTTAATAAAATATTGAAAAATTAAATTTATTTTTAAAAAAATGACATTTATCTTACTCACACAAAATAAAGATATGATCAATTAAATGCATCTCACGAAAGATAATTTTAACTAGTACCTTATTTGTTTTTTTTAATAACCAAGATATTTCATTTATCGAAATCCGCATCAACAAATGTTTTGTGAAGTACAGACTGAACAAATACAGTTATGATTATCGAAAATAAAATATAAAAGCCATCATTTAGAGATAATTTGATAAACAAAACCGTTAACAAGTGAAACAACAACGTACATAAACTGAAAACACTAATGACTTCGAACATAAAACATGAATATACACAACAAGTAGCGTCTTGGATATACACAACTGATATTTTCAATAAAAAATATATAATTATTTTTCAGATCACTTATGTTACGTTATAGAAGACGAAGATATTTTATGTAAAACACATTTTCAAAAATTGTTAATAAAATATATTTCATTACAAATAAATGTTACTTTTATAAATAATATTTGAAATGTAATCAAATTTATAAACGAAAAGGAATGATACTTGAAATAATTTAAGTAAATGATGTGAACCTTCTACTTGTGTTTATATTTTAAAGAATTTAGAACTAAGCAGCCCAAAATATGTCATTGAGAATGCAAGAAGTGGTGTTTTCAAATTTTAATATTAAATCGAAATAATTTTGTGAAATTTTGAAATGTTTTCCCTTTACCCAAAATTTCAATTACTAATTATACAAAAACAAGAACAAAACCCCTCAACTTTATTTAATTATATATTAAAATTAAGGGTTAACTACGTGAAAAATCACTTACGTTTATGTTTTGTCTACTTTTGGTCACTGATTTCAAAAAAACATAAGATGATACAGTTCAACCTAGCCTCACTTGGATGGATGGTGAAGTCAATGTTGTACTTTTGGTTGTTTCAATGTAGGAAAGCCACAAGTATCCTGCACAAACAAGAAAACTCAAAAAATTGTTAAATGGAAGTAATGAAATGGAAGGATAAATATGGCAGCGGAAAATATATATAAGTAGGTGATATGTTTAAAGGAAATGATGAAATATGGTAATGGAAGTAGAATGAAGGTGATGGAGATGAATACGAAAAGTAGTATCTCAAAGAAGACTCAAAGAAGAACCAATGTTAAAGAACAAAGACCCAGACTTTATATTGCTTCTTTAAGGGATGGTAAACAAGGACTTTGACCCACTATCTATAAAGAGATAGGAACAAGAAGTATCAGGGTGACATAGATAGGGGTGACGCCACAAGCATAAGCTTTATAAGTCGATAAAGTTCACTTAAGAACTAAAGAGAGAAACTCTCACAAATATTTGATTAAACAAAGTGAATTGGTTCTTACAAATGAAATGGAAAGCTATTTATAGGCCTAAGAGATGTCTAGGATGCACATACAAGATTTAATGATTGAACATTCATGGATGAATGTTCATCCCTTAGGAAATACAATGTACGGTCAATGGTGAATGTATGATGAATTAATGAATAAATCTTCATGAATGTATCTTCATGGCTGAATCCTTCCTCCCATGTGTGAACATGTTTGATTTGTCTTCTATGGATGAATGTTCATGAATTTATCTTGGCTGAAATTCTTCTCCCCTTGTGTGAACATGACTACTTGGCTTCTTGCATGAATATTCATGAATGGATGAACTTAAAAGCCTTTGAATGAAACCTTGCACCTTAAAAAAAATGTTCTGATTCATTTTAATACTCTTTTCTCATCCATGCATGTCTCCATTAATACCTCTCATGCATAAATCCTTTGAAGGAGATGAATGATTGCAAATCCGGTACTTTTTTCCAGCCTGCACTGTCTTCAGTAATCTGGGCATATCTCAAGCTCCCGATATCGGATTGATGTGATTCAAAATGAGTTGGAAATATAAGAGATAGGGGATTAAATGTTAAGAAGACTTCATCACCCAAAGATGCTTGTAACATGTTCAAAAATGTATATCAATCTGACTGGCGTGAATTGTCCAACTAACTCTTCAATTGCCTTTAGTCTTCTTAGCATCCAATGAACCTAGACAAAGTATGTAAACAAATAATTAGATAAAAATTGAGCTATGATATTTATGAATGCATGCTTCCACCTATGTTAATAATGCAAATGAGCTAACTATGAATGCATATGCATTGAATGAGTTATATAAAGATGTGAATTAATAAGTCATGCATGAATATCATATATTATACATATAAATGACAGCATATAATATTCAAGCAAAAATTAAGAATAAGATAAACATATTCACGTGACATGTAATGCATAAATGAGTAAATAAATAATAAAATAAGGTAAGACTCCCTTAGAATCAAGGTAGAATGTCCATGAAGTGATCATGTGTTGAAGAAGTTTGGTCCTTGGCATGATCGCATCATAAGATATAGTTACTTTTGTTTTTATTTAATTAAGATGTGGTCGCCCGAGTTAACTGTCGCTAACAACAGTTAAATGTTTTGATATAATCACATATTTGGTCATTGTTATTTACATATTCTCTCAATTTAGTCCTACTTTTAATCAATTAAAATAAATTTAATCTTATTTTACAACTCGGAGTTGATTTAGAATTTTTTGAGTCGGGTCGAGTCAATTTTTTGAGTTTATGTTTAAATTTAATTATAAATATCTATAATATTATGATATTATTTGATTTCAATTTAAATGATCTTTTATAACCATATACAATACATGTGTATTTCTTCATTTTTTATATGTGATATACATTTATGATACAAAGTCGAGAGACTCAACTCAAACTTGAAAATCAAATCCTCTAATTACTAAATTTTTTGAGTTATTCAATTTATTCGAGTTGTATTTTATAACTCGGTTTGAACTTTATTTTTTCAAGTTGAATCGGGTTTATGAAATTATAACTCGAAGTTAATTCGAGTCAAGTTTTAAAGAGTCGAGTCGAAAAAATCGATTCTTTGAGCTAAGTTGAATTTCGCTCATCCCTAATGCCACGTGTTACTGTTCGGTTGGAGGATTAACTTTCATAAACGACTCGACTCGAAAAAATTTCAAGTTCAAACCGAGTTGAAAAATACAACTTGAATAACTCAAAAATTTTAGTAATTAGTGGATTGATTTTCAAGTTTGAGTTGAGTCTATCGACTTTATGTCATAAATGTATATCACATATGAAAAAAATGAAAAAATACACATGTATTGTATATGTTTATAAAAAATCATTTAAATTTGAATAAAATAATATCATAATATTATAAATATTTATAATTATATTTAAACAAAAACTCAAAAATTTGACCCGATTTGGCTCGAAAAAATTCTAAGTCAACTCTGAGTTATAAAATAGGACTCGAATAACTCAATATTTTTTTACTCTACTTGACTCGGCTCGATCGAACACTCACCCCTACGTGGCATGAAATGTGACATCATTCGATTGGAAGATTAAATTTATTTTAATTTATTAAAAGTATGACTAAATTGAGAGAATATGTAAATAATATGGACCAAATGTGTGATTATATCAAAATATTTTAATCGAGGTTACTACATCTTAATTAAAAAAAACAAAAGTGACCACATCTTAATTAAATAAAAAAAGTAACCATAACTTATGTTTTTTAAATTAATGATCAAAAGTGGACAAAATATAAACGTAAGTGATTTTAATTAATATTTGATTGTTGAGTGACCGAAAATACCTTATAATATACGATTTTAACCAACTTTTTTTGAATTTGCAAAAATAACCAACGAATTCGTAACGCGATTTCAATTTCGCAACACAGTTTCCAAATTCGCAACACATAAGTAAAATTCGCAACACAGAAGTAAAATTCGCAACTCGAATTTGACAATTTCGCAACACGAATTTCTTTTTCGAAATGCGATTTTTAAATTCGCAACACAAGAGTCCTTTTCGCAACAAGATTTTATAATTCGCAAAGTGAATTTTATTTTCGCAACTCGATTTTCGAATTCGAAACACGAATATTAATTTCGCAACACAAATGTAAATAATATATCCCGTAAATCGCAACTCATAATCTAAACCCTTAAATTACAACTCATTCTCTAAACCCTTAAATTGCAACTCTTTCTCTAAACCCTTAAATCGCAACTCATTCTCATCTCCATCTCTCACTCTCTAAAGTGACATTCGTCCCTATCTCCGACGACATCCTCCCCATATCCGACGACCCCCTCCATCTCCATCTCTCACAGCCACCCTCTCACAACCATTCACAGCCACAAATGAAAAATCAACCACCGAGTGTTAATTTTTTTAATTATTTTTATTTTGAAATTTTTGTATT